ATTGTGAAAAAAGAGGGAAAGAAAAACTTTTTTATCTTAAATAAATTTAGTACAACATTATGTTGAAGTTCTGTAGCCTGATTGGATTGATTACCTTATAACATAATTTCTTCCGATTGAGTGATTTTGTAATTGGTAGAATATCTTCAATTAGCAGTCATGGCTCTTTAGACCTGTTAGCTTGCATTTACTTATTTTAACATATCTAGATATATTTGATGAATATCATTTAGGCATTTTCATAATTTTAGCACTTCAAAGAACATTTTTTTTCTTTTATTGACATTGTGAAACAAGTTGACGGTAAAATAAATGTATCATTAACTAAAATGTGAGGATGGAGTTCACTTTTAACACCAATATCGGTTATGTTTTGTCTTGTTTGTAGATTATATTTTGATTTGTCAAGATCTAGAAGTGTGGATATGAAACTATCACAAAAATCAATCTTCTCTATATCCATTACATCCAAATTATGTGGAAAAATATTGTGCTCCCAATAAGGTATGTGGAAGAAAATATTTATTTTCTCCTACATTAACAAATCGTCAGATCCTTCTACTATCAAATTGGTATGCTTTCTTTTCTTTCTCCTATGAATTACATTATTATTTTTATCAAAAATAGGAAGAAGAGACACCAATTATGATAAAATTTGAGTGCTAGTAACTCCTTGAGGTGTGGTTCTAAATTCTTTACTATTATCAAAATATTGCTTATGCCGACGAAATATATGTCCTTGCGGGAATCAATGTGGATGACCCTTGAAAGATAATTTTTTGCATTTGTGCAACCATTATGACTACATATTTTTAGTACAACATGGATGTGCAAATTTACCTTTAGTACTCGTCCCAGATAACATAGAATATGCAAGAAAATCAATGATAATCCAAAATAATGTTGCACATATTTTGAAATTTTGACATGTAACCGCATCAAACATTGAACTCCCAAACATAATTTTTGTTACTCTTCAATTAATGGTTGTATGTAAATGTTAATGTCATTACCTAGAATTCTATTATTGTAGACAAAATAAAAGATGTATGTTTCATCCCAATCTGAGGTAAATTATACGTAACCAAAGTACAGGCCAAATACTATATGTACTACTCATAAGTATAAAGGGATTAAATCCATTTATGACCATACCTAAACCAATATTTCTTGTATCTGCAACAAAATCACGATGTAAATTTTCAAAAGATTTTCATGCATCACGATCAAATGGATGACAGAACATTCTACCTCTATGATCGCGTTTAGAGTGCTACATAATATCTTCAATGGATTTTTTTGTTTTGAACAATTGTTGTAGTCTAAGTATTAATAAAAAATGCAGAACCACCTTTGTTGAATTATTAGGTTTTTTTTATTTTTCTTCTAAAACTTTATCATTCTTAACATTAACCAATCGCGATGAACCATAAATATGACATGGATTCTGGTTACCACTAATTCTCAAACATAACATACAATCAATTGAGAAACCATATATCTTTTTGTACCTAACATTAAATGTTTTCATTAATTTTTTAACTTCATATGTACTCACAACATATCAAAAGATTTTGTTGTCAAGCAACGTAGACATTTTAAACGATACAAGTGTGAATTGAAAGATAATGTTGAGAATGACTTACACCCCATATATAAATTTTCCCCTGCATCTTCAAGCAGTTTTGAGAATTTGTCAGAATTTTTTAATGCATGTCTAATATGATGTACATTATCACCTTCAATGTTTATTGTGACATCGCTTGGATGAAGTATATTACTTAGTAATTTTTCTATGCCAACAATTTTATATTCTTCTTTTTCACTTAAAATTTGCTCATAAGTATTCTCAATGCTGTTTGATTTATTAATTGCAACATCACTGACAGCATAATGTTCTTCCCCATGCTTTTTCCACACAATATATTCACTAAAAAATCCATTGGAGAGCAAATGCATCCTAACATCTTTTAAACTATGGAAGTATCTAATGATGCACATTTTTCATGGACATAAATTTTTGTCTAATGCATTCTTTCTCCGACTTGCAAATTCCAAGAAACTTTTGATACCTTTTTTATATTTGTGATTCCTTTTAAAATTAATTATCCAACTTTTATCCATGATTTTTGAAAAGTTAGCATTAAATTTAAAATTAATAAATATTGAGTATGAAATTGTTGAAATAATTAAAAAAAAAGTGTAAAGCAAAGAATGATGAGTTGGAGGCCAACATGACTCAAAATAGACTTCCAAAGTAATTTTGTAAAGTCTAAACAATATGTCATACTAATTTAACAACCACAATGAATCCTTTGTGAAAATAGAGCAGTATCTTAAGGGTTCTTGTTTAACAACTACTATCATTACATAGTTAAATAGATTTAGGTTATGAGAGTGCTTTAACCACCTAGCAAATGAACTTTCTCTTTTTAGATATATTTTATTTATTTTTAAAGTTTTTCATAGATGGTAGATAGAGATTTCATTTGGCTAGTTACGACTCTTTTATTCAATATGCTAAAGGTACCACTCTTTATTAGTGAATCAAACAAAGCACCTATTGAATTCCTATCGAAGAGAACATATTTTTTTAGAGTATACTTATAAATTCAAACTCAAAAAGAGCTAGAGGCACGCACTCCCATTTAAACTCAATATGAAACATCTAATACTTAAATTCATTGTTGAACAAGTTGATCCTCACCTTCTTATCATTATGTAACACGTACTCCCATTTATCCTGTAAAACTCCAAATTGTCCAGCTTCAATAAAAATTGTTAAAGGAATGCACACATATAACAATAATATTGTACACCATAATGAAAATGGTAATCCATGACAAGAACACTAAAAAAATACAATAGAGTTTACATGATTTAGTGAGGTTCCCATACATTCACTATCTAACATGATGTATATATTCAACAAAATTATTATATAAATGCTTACCATAAAAATTTTTCTTCTCTCTCTCTGTCTCTCTCTTATTTTCTCTTCAAACTTAGAGCAGGATTTCACCATCTACAATGCTCACCAAAAATAATGAAGAGCTAATTTTCTTTGTCAAACCATCATTTTAATCACTAGACTATATGACCATTATTAATTCTGTTTTAAAAATGCCACTTACTTCCAACAATCAAATTTAATTTTTTGTGGTATATTGTAAATCACTTAATAGACATGCTCTTCAACTTGACATCAATAATGTTAACTTCTAATCTCTAATTATAACTTAGTTTATTTTAATTATTTTTTTATAGAAGGATTTACATGATTGAAGAATTGGAAAGATTAGCAAACATGGATATATCCAAGGAACATTCCATTGAGGCGGCCAAAATGAACTTTTTAGATGTATCCATTAAAAAAGGTAAATGACTATGAGCAAGAAGAAGATTTGATTGCATACCACTCAATTCTAATGCATATTATATATCTAACACCAAAACGAAACCCAAAAATAAAAATGAAGAAAATAAAATAAGAAAAATTCTTGACATCTGAGGCTCTTACCACATAAGGATTTGCAACAATATGAAGGAAGCCTACAAGGGAGATCAGTGGCAAGGGCTGTGGTTTCATCACGGGAGGAAGCTAGGGGAGATAGGCGTGTGAGAGGAGGAAGTCCACGCAATTTCAAGAAGAAGAGAGCATGGAAGATCGACAGCTCTAAGGATTTCATGGGGAATAAATTCATGAATCAACAACGTGAGGGAGGGAAGATTTACACACACTGGCTCGGTTTGCTTTGTTAAAACCAAGAGAAGAGGAAAAAAAACCATAATTTTACGACAGTTTAAAATCGCTGGCAAAAAGAATTTTGCACCTGCATACCACAAGCGCAAAAATGTTCCAATGTGGTGATTTACACCGCTGTTAAAGATGACTTTTAATGATAGTTCCAAAACTGCTGCAAAATTATGCTGCTAAAAGTAAAATTTTTATTCTATAAAGAAACAATTGTTTTTCCTGCATGATCATAAACGCTTATTCTTTTTAGTTTTTCATACACTTCTAAGTTGTGGAAGGAGAATATAACTTATTTCATGTTATAACCTTAATAAATTAGTCATAGTTATATATATATATATATATATATATCATCACATTTATACACACATATCATTAATAAAAAAATAAATTGAGAATTGATATATTTCTACAATTTTTATATAGTTACATATATAACATTTATGTTGAGATAGTTAAATTATATAATACTTTAATATTATAATCACAATGCAAAAATTTGGATGAGAAGCTGAGTTCTAATTTTTAAAATATATAATATTAATGTTATTCTGATGTGATATTAAAGATTAGGACTTATGAATAAATATTAAAATTTAAATGTTAGGTGTGAAACACAGAATTTCTGTAAATTCCCCAAACTTCGAAATCTATTGGGCATAAATGAATGATTCAATATTCTTTTGTGCTCCTTTTGGGTCAGTTTGTTATTGAATTATATAATAATTATTATATTCTCACTTAAAGAAGCAATTGTTTTTCCTCCACGATCATAAATGCTTACTCTTTTTAGTTTTTCTTACAATTCTTAGTTGTGGTAGGAGGATATAGCTTAATTTAACATTATTAGGTCATTCATAGCTTTAATATATATTTAGTCACATTTATACACATATCATTAATAAAAAAAAAAATTGAGAAATGATACATTTCTACAATTTTAATAAAGTTACATGCACATACCATCAAAATTGAGATAGCTATAATATATAATACTCTAATATGGATGAAAAGCAGAGTTTTAATTTTTAAAATAATATAAATGTTATTCTAATGTGATACTAAGAATTAGATCTTATAGATAAATATTAGAAGTTAAGTGTTAGTTGTGAAAAGAAAACATAATTTCCTCAAATTTCCGAAACAAAATTTAATAAAAAAAAAACATTGCCCTTCGAAACCTATCAGGCATAAATTAATGATTAAGGATAATGCTATTATGCAAACAACTATTCTTCCCAACATGGAGTATTCAAATTCATTAAGCTCCTCAATTTCAAATTAGTTCTCCAACATTCTTACATTTCCCAAAATTTTACATGTAAGGTTTTGAAGTCTATTCCATCTATCACCATCACTTCAGCACAACCCTCATGTTAGCATTAGTGTTTAATTTTAATATAAGGAACCAAATACGTACCCTGATTTTCTGCTAAGCTCCTACACAAAATATTCAATCAAATTAAAACCTAAACTTTATAAAACCAAAAGAAAAGCCCATAATAATTCCTTCCAACTACCACAAGCTATAATTAATAATCAGCCTAAGCATCATTCCACAACGTGAAGAGAGGCGCTCCATGGCAATTACTGATACCACCACCCTGCCTTGCCGAATTCACCATCCAACCATCCCCTTGATCATATCCAGTCTCCTTCACCATATTAGCCGAATAGTAAACATTTCTCCCACAATAAGGATCTGAAGCACCCAACAGATTCTCGTAGCCCAGACTATTCTTCACCTCACTATCTCCATAGCCACCACCATTACCACCACCACCACCACCACCTTGGCCTCCTTCAATCATCATTGTGCCCATAGGTATCACATACCCACTCCCACCATATAGCATCGAGCTTGAAGAACCCCCACTTTGCTCTACCGATGATTCCATACCCACCATGCTATGAATTCCTGAAGGCTGGAAGAAATTGTGAGTCGTGCTTCCCAAGTGAATTTCCTGTTGCATATCATGCACACCATGGCCTAAGGTGACATCTGGCTCCGGCTTACACCAACCTCTTTGTTGGCTTACAGCCGCAGCGTAAGGATAGTGCAATCCTATATTTTGCTGCTGCTGCTGCTGGAAAGCCATGGCTGGCCAACCATAATGATGTGAGGGGTAGCCAGCCAGACCAGCCTCTCTGATATGAGAGGCGACAACAATGGAAGTGCCGCTATCATCGGATCTTTGTCCTTCGATGCTGGACTCCGAGTGGTCGCCGACGTCTTTCAGACGCTTCGCCGCACCACCGATAGGAAGGGTGCTGCTTTCGAGTATGCTTTTGACGTCGTAGCGACTCATGTCGAAGTTGGTCACAGCATTAAGGCCCCGGAATTTGATGGCGGCGATGTCGTATGCCTCCGCAGCCTCCTCCTGTGTGCCTTTTTTTAAAAAAAAATTATATTTATATATACATATAATATTGAGGACTTGTTGCCTGCTCTATTGTTGCATGTTAAAGGTTAAGTTATATTATATTCATAAAAATTGTGATGAGGTGACAAATATAGGTGCTTACTGAATGTGCCTAGGTAGAGGTCCTTGTTTCCTGCCACTCTTCCTATTCTTGCTTGCCATCTTCCATGCTGGTGGTGTCTGCCACATTTGGATAGAATGGATGGAGTAAGTACTTTAAAAGCGAGCAGACTAGTTTTTAAATGTGCTAACTTCATGCAACGAGATGCAAAGAATGATAGGATGAGTTGCACTATTTTTTATTTTTTCTATTTTTGTTTTATATAAATTACAAGGTATAATTTAAATTGATGTGAAAATTAGTGAGCAATTAATGTATATCTTTAGGCATGCACACTATTGAGACTATTAATTTATGATCAGTTTCTTATTGCAATTATTAGAAATTCTAACTTATAGATTAATTATATATTAATCTTTATGCTAAAGTATTTCTTGGAAGAAGTTTAGTAATGTAGAAAATGCATTGCTAGCAAAAAGAATAGCATCATAATACAATTTATTAATCTTCCTCTTCCAAATGGGTGTTTTCCAGGAAATCTTTTATATTATTATTTTTTTTCATTTAGATAGTTTATTAGATATTGAAACCTATTACATTATATAAAAAAAAAGCAACATACTATATAATTTCTTATATATTAGGTCAGATTTGCGGAAGGATTGTTAGAGAATCTTCTCTCCAACAAAAAGGCCCACATTAGAAGCACATTCTAACTAATAAATTAAAACTCAGTTGTCACTAATCTTATGTCTTCAGATTTATATAGTTAAGGCAAACATTTCTAACCAAGATAGATAACTATTTCTGCCTTAGTTAATTTTTTATTCGATAGCAAGTCTTAATTTTGGTAAGATCATTTCTATGAAGACAAAAAATTAAATAGTAAGAATATATTCATGTTATTTTTATAGCGACGCCCTATAAAAATCTTTGAAGGATTTTATCACAGAATTTCCAATCTTAGGCTAATGCATCATTTACTAAAGCAGTTACCGCCCAATTCCTAAATATTTAGGAATCTAACATTTTAATTTTACTTCTTATATTTATAACACCCAAATCTTTAATATCAGAAAAAAAGGCATGCATCCATAGGTGAAGTGATGTATATGTAGGAATTAAAATTTAGATGTTAGTTATGTAAATAAGTGGAATGAAGTGCTATACATATATGTATGTATGTATATGTGTGTGTGTGTGTGTGTTAATCTTCCTTGAAAAGAAAAATAATTAGATTTCATCACTAATTAATTTACTCGAATATAACTAGAAATCAACATTAGTTAGATTTTATTATCAGAAAAAGAAATGATCATAAAATCATTATTTTTAAGAATGATTGTCGATTTACAAACAATCCAATGATCACTTATACTCAAATTTTGACAATACCTAATCATAACATGATATAAAATACCTCGTTACACCACGGTAAATGGAGGCTCCGCGAGAAAAACCACTACTCTTCCTGTATAAAAAAAAAAAAATTAATTTTCAATTTTTTTTTCCTTCAAGGGAAAGCCTCTTTTATCTTACACAGGATATCTATATATTCCTTTCCTTCTGTTTTTCTAATAAAATCAGTACCACGTGGAAACTTTTTGTAAAGAGGACATACCTCCTTAGAGATGCCACATACTCCTGCCTTGTCATATGCTTCATCTCCTCCAACTCTTTCTCATAATTACTAATCTATTAAACCATATAAAAATTACAATAATAAGAGTAAATTGTTCAATAGCTTTAATTTTGAGATGAATTCAGTTATTGTTATCAATTTACAAAAAAAATAATTTAAAAAAAAAGTAATAAAAATACATACAGGAAAATTGGTTGTTGTAGTAGTACCCCAGTACTTGAGTGCAGCCAAATCATAAGCCCTTGCTGCCTTTTCTTCCTTGTCATAGCCACCTGTGTCCAAAAATAATAAAGTAGGTAGATGAGAGAAAAGAAGCAGGAAGGAAAGGAACCAATCAACCATTGATTCCCTGACCAAATATCCTCAGCAGGAGGTAAAAAAAAAGCTCAGCAATGACATAAATTTTTGGTACACAATGAAAAGAAATTTAAAAGGACAGCATCTTTTGCTTACCCAGGTAGACTGTATCAGTTGGAAGATGAGTCCAATTTCCATAACAAGACAATGCCATGAAAGAATATCCAAATATGAGAAAGTTAGCTTTGCAGGGTGTAAAATCCAAAGCATGAATATATGGAGAATAAAACTTATGCATAGTTTTCTGTATTTTGAGACTCAAGCAAATAATCTTTTGGAGCGTGAATTTTATCTTTATTGCAAAATGTTTTTCATTATATTACGAATTTTTTCTTAATTTGAAGGACAATAATCAAAATAATAATTTTTAAAATGTTAAGAAATTTAAAAGGTTGCAAAAAAAAAAAAAAATGCTAATAGTAATAAGTTTTGAAATTTTGGAGGATGTGTTTTACATCTTAAAAAAGAAATTTAAATCGAGATATATAAAGTAATTTATTTTCCGTGTATTTTAAGAACTTTATATTGCTAGAAATCGATGCATACCTTGTCTTCCCTTGCGCGTTTGTCCTTCTCTCCTGCAACTGTTATCCCAAAGATGAGCTTCATATCTCCCCGTCCACCTATGCCTGTTTCAATGTAGATATATAAACCTTAGATTATATATGCTAAGCAGAAAAAAAAATTAAAAAATAAAAAGGCATCAAATGAATTACAGAAGTGGGGCACGCTTACTCACCGAAAAATATGTCCCAGGAAAATGCACTGGAAAAGGATTATGAACTAAAATAATATGGATTGTCTTGTATTTGGGATTAAACGCCAACTAATTTATGTCAGATTTTTTCTTATTTTGAATACCTTTATATATTTTTGTTTTAGGATATATTCGTATATTGTTATATTTTTTTGCATTACTCATGCATGCTATACAGAATCAAATTTATAATAAAGCATATGTAGTGCTCCTAATGACCTTAAGTTGTAAATTATGTTTAGAATGTTTGATAGGAAGTATTCTTAACTTTCATGCATTGACGTAAATAATTCAAAATGCTATCATGTTCATCAACCACCCTTTAAGAATTAACTAAGAAAAAAATGAAGAACTCGGAATCTAAACGTTCGTTTTACAGACTCCTAAACCGGAAACTTATAAGTAACAATCATAACAATATTAATTAATAGTTGCATTTTTAAGGGATTCAAATCATTTGACAACCTTTTATTTCAGATATACTCTTTAAATTATAAGCAGTGATTAAGTAATACAAACTATTTGTGAGTAGTCTTAACAGTTAGTAATTTTCATAGAAAAACATGACTATAACTTCTAGTCTCAGATGCAAGTCATTTATTTCCAAGAAAGAAGAAAGGAGAGTTAGTTGTGTGATTATAAGTTCAAAAATATGGTTAATGATGTTTTTTTTTCCATAATTAAAAAAAAATGATAAGATAAATGCATAATCACTTTTTTAGATAAATGTGCATGTGATTTGAACTTCAATTTTAAGCACTGAAAAAAAATAATAATAAAATAATAACCTAAGTTAGCAAGACCAAATTCTTCACAGGCAAAAGTGGTAGCTCCCAATCAGTAAACTTCCCGGCTAACTCAATCTAAAGACTAGCACAACATAAAATATTACTCTCTTCTAAATGAAAAAAGAAAAAAATTCAAAAAAAAATATTTTTCATTATTATTAATTTCCGAAAACAAAAGCCAAAAACCAACAAAAAAAAAAAAAAAAACAATAACAAAAACATTCCTGCAATAATAAAACAACAAAATGCATCCAAATAACCAATTTCTTCCGTATCTCAACAAAAGAAAGTGCAAGCCATGGCCAAACCTTGTAACTCCTCGGTAAATTGAAGTCCTTTGCCCAAAAGTATCAATAGACTTCCTTGGCACAGCTTCTATAACACCACTATGTACATCAACTTTCCCGCAACTCCCGCCACCCTTTCCCTCATTCTCCAACAACAAGCTCTCACCTCCACAATCGCCACCGCCGGCCATTTCCGCCGCCACTAGCTGCAAAGCTGAAGTGGGCTGCGAACCAGTGCTCATCGACAACGCCAGGCTCTGTGATGGTCCGCCTCTCCCTCTGACTACAACAATTTTCGTTATAGTAATCTTCCATTTGTAATTAAAGATGAATGTAGCTTCATAAAACTCTTAAATCTCAGTTTCATGAAAAATAAAAAGAAAATGCCTATGGATATTTGTTGAGATGAAAGCATTCTATCAAAAAATATCATCATAATATTCTGAAAAAGCTTACTTCCAACATCTTCTCCTTCTTCCTTGCTCTCCATCATGGACCCCGATGGAGTCGGCTGGTTTCTCAACCACGTCTTGATCATTGACAGCCCAATAGAACCATTCCCTCCACCACTGGTAGATGCAACTCCTGGAACTTGTAGCGAGCAGTTTGAATACAAGTAATGATCCCCAACAATGGATCCGATCCTCGGCTCGTGGTCAGAGAAAGGGGGCGGCCCGCCGCTGCCTCCGCTGCCGAGAAAATCTTCAAGCTTTGGCTCCTCCACAACAACTTCATCCATATTTCCACACTTGCCGCCGCTCGAGTCCACTATCATAGACAGCTCTGAAGTGCTCCCTTTAAAGTCCAAACTCTTCATACTCCAATCTGTATATTTCAAAGTTTATACTAACAAACATCAACAAAAACAAAACCTAGGGTTTTGATTATGTTTCACGTAACAAGACAGATCGCTAAACTAACCGTTAGGTGCGCGGTTGAAGGCTTCAAGGATGGAGAAGGAGCCATCAGGCCTCAGGCTTGAGTTGGAACCGTAGCAGTCTGCTTCCTCGGTGGAGAGGGAGTGCTCCTGAGGAGAGAGAGAGAAGCCCAGCCAGTTATTCGTAGAAGTCATTTGAGATGTGGAGCTCTCGTCCTTTGCTTGAAGATGAAAGCTAGAGAGAGAGGAGGTTGAAAATGATGAGTGGGAAGCAGGAAGAAGACTGCATTGAGGTTTGAAAGAGGGAAGGGGAAAGGTCTGAGGAACCTGAGAGAAAATAACAAATCAAGGGGCTTGCTTTATTCATAAATATATATGTGTATATATATCTGCAGCCATGGACAAAGTTATTCAACACGTTGCTTCTCTCTCTCTTGCTCTAACTGGTAAAGCAGGAGGCGGTAGCCTGATAGATGACAGACATGTTAAATTGCTAGGAACAAGATTGTTTTTTAAATTGAATATTAACTCAGATGTTCTACTTTAGGACCCTCAGAGAATTAATGCATATAATTAAAGCTTTTTATTTTTTTATATTTCGCTCGCTTATATATAAATACGGTCGATGTGAGAAATTGACGGTATTATTATAATTTTGCATCTAAAATTTTAGACAACAGCATTACTATTCTATTGATTGATGTAAGTTTGAAAATATAATATTATTTAAGATAACAATCAATGGAAGATTATCCAAATTCATTTTGATTTTTATTATTTTCCTTCGGCTGAAGATGCATAAATTATCTATCTGACATATGTCTTCTTGGTTTTGTTTTCTACCTAGTTACGTTTCCTTTTAAAGGTTGTTATATCATAATATTATAGGAGTTGTGTCCTCCAAAAATTTTTTGCATGCCCAGCAAATTTGAAAAATAGTATTTTTGTTTTTCGTAATTTTCAGAGAGTAAAATTGAGTGTCTCCACATAAGGAATCAAATTGAAGCTTTGATAAAAATTTTCTCACTAAATTTGACGAAACGTGTTCTTACAATTTTAAGCAACTTGTAATTGTATGTCATAAATATAATATTTTCATTACTCAACATAAAATTTTGTAAAGCATTATGGAGTTTGAAGTTTGCTCCAAATGAAGCCTTAATTAGATCACCTACTAATTTCTCTTCAAAATTATTCCATATTGTATATGAAAAATGTGTCACTTTTGATCCCGGGAAAATCAAACGATAAAAAAAAGTATAATAGGGGGACTCACCGATAGAAGACCACGAGACTCACTTATTTATGCGATAGAACAATGTCATTTGAGCTAAAACGAAGACATATCGAGCTGGGAGCAGAATAAAAGGATGGACTGAACAATCCAAATCCATTAGACTAAAGCAACATATAAGTATTCAAGCTTTCCACTGCATGGAAACGAATCGAAGGCATCGACCTTCCATTCAATAGATATAACCTGAGAAAAGAATCTAATTTCTCACTATCACCAAACGTCCAACGGACGTCCCGAGGCAACTCACCCAGAATCGAGAATCAACGATACTATACAGCTTTGTAGTCATCTTACAAGCTCTTTTCGTCGAGGAATGATTTATCGATTGAACTACAATGATTCACCCACTGCCTGATAACCTAGTCTTGCTTTCCCAATAAAAGCCTCTCACCTAAGATCAAGATCTGACTGTCATACTAGATCAACCAATCAACAAAGCCCAATAAACACATTATGTCCAGCCAATATGAAACTAATCAAGCTCAGCGAATACCGACCCAACCGACAGGCAACAGTGGCTCAACCTAGCTTACTGGAATGACCTTATTGAGTCGAAGCAATACTACCCTAGCCAGCCGAGCCTAATATTAACCAAGCAATAGACTAATATATGTAAAATATATAGAATATTATGTACAAACTACATTAAAGTAGGGGTAGAAATGTAATTTCATTATATTTTACCATAACCTCTATATATTAGGAGACAATTTTATGAATAAGGGTGAATAGATAATATGTAATACTATTAATTACTTTTCACTCCCCTCGTGTCTCTCTCTCCTTTCTCATGCTCTATTCGTTGGGGTGTAATTCACTGATAAATAAAGATTCAACATCTTAAAAGGTACATTGAGCATGGATCATGTCATATATAATAAGTGAAGCAAAACATAGTGAACAAATCCATAATAGAGAATTGAACCCAACTTTTACAACAGTACTATGAAGTATGTGTTGTTATCTTCTCAATTTACTTATTTATATTTCTTCATTTACAATAACACCAAAAAATTGACTCCAAAGCAAATAAAAGTGCAACTAGTTTATTTAAATATTGGGATATTATACAAGTGTATGTATCCTTAATTAGATCACCTATTATTTCTCTTCTAAAGTATTCCACATTGTATATGAAAAATGTGTCACTTTTAATCCTGGAAAAATCCAACAATAAAAAAAAGTATAATAGGGGGATTCAGCGATAGAAAACTAGGAGGTTCACTTATTTATGCGATAGAACATTGCCATTCGAGCTATCGAAAGCCGATCAAGCTAGGAGAAGAATAAAAGGAATGACTGAACAATACAAATCCATCAGACTAAAGCAAGACATAAGAGTATTCGAGCTTGCCACTGCATGGAAACGAGCCGAAGGCATCGACCTTCCATTTAGTATATCTGATCCAAGAAAAGAATCTAGTTTCTCATTATCACCAAACGTCCCACGGACGTACCAAGACTCCTCACCCATAATTGAGAATCGACAATACTATAGATTGTTATAGTCATCACACAAACTCTTTTTGTCGAGGAATGAGTTATCTATCAAATTATAGTGATTCAGCTAGTGCCCGATAACCTAGGCTTGCTTTGTCAACAAAACCCTATCATTTTGGATCAAGGTTTAACAATCAAACTAGATCAACCAATTGACAAAGCCCTATAAACACAATATGTCCGACCAACCCTAAGCTAATCAAGCTCAGCCAATCGGTGACAATGGCTCAAGTCACAGACAACACTGGCTCAACCTAGCTTACTAGAATGACCATATCAAGCCAAAGCAAAACTAACCTAGCCAAAAGAACTTGATAGTAACCAAGAAATGGGCTAATATATGTAAAATATCCTGAATATCCTGTATAACCAACATTAAAACAAGGGTAGAAATGTAAATTCACTATATTATACTATATTCTCTATATGTAACGAGATAATTTTAAAAGTAAGGGTGAATAGATAAGATGTAATACTATTAATTACTTAATACTTCCCTCTCAGTCTCTTTTTTCCTTTCTCATGCTCTATTCCTTGGGGTGTGATTAACTGATAAATAAATATTTAACATCTTAAAAGGTACATTGAGTATAGATCATGTCATAGATAAGAAGTGGAGCAAAACACAAAGAACAAATTCATAATAGAGAATCCGGTAATATGGAGTGCAAAATAGATTTATTGAACCAACAAATTCAGAAGTTGACGCATCAACTACTGAACTCCATATGAGACAAACTAGCGTGGGGAAGGGAGCAACATCCTTGAGAGGAAGGGCCGACACCCAATAACTGAAGAGCCACCTTAGCTTTGGATATATAAAAGGAGACTTTGAGTACTATGACAATGTTAGGTAGCACCAATCAACAAATATAAGTTTGAGTGTTCTGAAATTTTGACAACAAGAGAATGAGTTATACCAATAAATCTTTGAGGGTGAGCCTCTAAAGAGGTTTAAGATCCCAACATTAGTATCCAATAAGGGGAGAATTAATATAATAGACCACATAGTCTCATTCGAGTCGATGATGTATCTACTTAGGATCAACAACTTACTGAAGTGTTACATTTTCTTCACCACACAGAGGGAGGTGATACTCATGTAGTTAAATGCATTGTCATTAGGAGTATTTGTGTAATTCACTCACTTCAGGTGAATGTTTGTAGAAAAGTTTGCTAGCTCTCAGAACCTTCTAAAAAAATTTCACACCCTCTTGTAGATCAGACAAAAGTAAAATGAGAGCCTTCGCTCATTTATTACTAGCTTCTTAAAGGAGATGTTAGAAGTACATGAGAGGTCATGTTGCCCATACCTATGGACAAAAAGAGTAAACTTTATAGTAAAATTTGGGTTTCTGATACGTCCTATATCCAAGTGCAGGGGTCTCACACAAGTGTACGTGTCATACAAGTAATATTGGATTTTAAGTCTGGAATATCGATCCCACAGGGAGTGAGGCAATTAAACCTAAGTGAAGTTTTAGCCTACTAGGTTTAGTTCTTAGCCTAAAATTGAAATTAAGTAAAGGTTCTACAAACTACTCCAACAAAATTTCAATCATGTTAAAAGGTTAACTCCAATAGAAATCTTACATATACTAATTAGTTCGATGATTATCAAGTTATAAGGCTACCTTCACTTGCAAATGGTTAAAGTGGTAGTGTAGAAAATGTAAAGCGTCTATTGTCAATGTGGCTAGTGACAAATATGATGAATCAACTCTCTTCTTTACCCTCTCCCAAGTGCATAAAGAAGTTTAGTTAAATTATTTTAAATTCCTTAGACCCCAATTTGACCCCTTCAAAGATTATATCCCTAACATTTGCATCTCTCTACAATGTACTTACACCATACCTTATAGATCAATGTGAATAACCTAGTTGTTCTGCCATATCTCTCCATAGTCATTATGGATCACAACACGTTTTAACGAATCACTTGGTCAGAATGAAATGTAAATAAAATTCAGAAGGTTATTCATTACATTCAAGATTAAAAACCAATTATTGAAACACTTTGCACTCCTAAACAACCTACTCAACCATTACATGGAAAACTAAAAGAGATCTACTCATAAAACACGAAGAACACACCACGAAGCATCATTTGAAAAAAAATCCAGTAATAATTGTGTTTAAGGAAATACAAGAGAAATACACAATATTTAGCTATTTTGTTCCTTACAAAGCTTTGAGAATGCTTCTCCAAGGATTTTCTGGTCCCTTGTTGCTTTCCTAAACACTCTCCTCACAATACAACTCAAATATTTCACCAAATGCTAAATGAAACCGATCCTACGCTTTCCTAAAATAAACCTTTCCCTCATTTAACCAATGACTCATTCACCTTCACTGAAGAGCTCTTTTATCGAGATGAATAACTTCCAATATCATGGATTTAAATTGCTAAAAATTGCTCAAGAAATCTGATGTCAAGGCATCAGTCGCTTATGTCCTCCTGAGCTTTATGTCATCTCTACTTTTCTCCATTTATTTTCTACTTTGCTCCACTTTTAATACCTGTTGTACTTGTAATAAAAAACATAAAAGTACCTTTTTAAAAGTGCAATTTCATCCATAAAGATGTGCAAAATA